AGTAGTAGTAGTAGTAGGAGGAGGAGGAGGAGGAGGAGGAGGAGGGGGAGGAGGAGGAGGACGATGAGGAGGAGGGGAGGAGGAGGAGCGGGTTGAGGAAGAGGAGGAGGAGGAGGAGGAGGAGGAGGAGGAGGAGGCGGATGAGGACGAGTCGAGCTAGCCAGGTCCAACGAGTCGGCGGGCCGCGCCCATTCCCGCCATCCCAGCTGTAATCTCAGAACCAGTGGTGGCGCAACGTGACATTTGGACTGGCGCGCATTCCCCGTGGCGAATGGAAGGCGCTCGCGCGCGTCCCCGCTTCCGACGACGTGGCGAGCGCGGAAAAATGAACCGGGAGGGCCGTGCACGGACACGACCAGGCCTTCCAGAACAGCCCTGCGCGGCGCTGCGGCCAGAGCAGCACGCAGCCCTCCCTCGAGCGGCCAGGCTTCCGATGAGCGCGGCCGAACCGAAGCCTGCGCCTCGCCGAAGCAACACTACCACTTCCGCGCAACATCTGCGCGGCGCCTGGGCGAGAGCAGCGGGCATTTGGCCCGCTCTCGCGCGGCCCCGCTGGTGAGATATCTGGGAGGATCAACGAACCTATACGAACTCGTACGAGCGGCAACAAGGAGCGGGTCTTACGCGACATGACATAGCGACTTCACGCCACAACTTACGCGGGCCGCCAGCGCAGCCCGCCGCATTGGAAACGAGGGTGCGTGCGACCTCACGCGGGCAGCTTACGCGCGAATGTCTGCGCAATCGACACCGCTTCCTTTCGTCGCTATTGTGCCTCTCATGTGGACGCCCGAAATGGGTACGGAAGGAATGGGTACGATGCTCAACAACAGATGTTGTCCAAAACCGACAGCGGCCGCTGTTGCGCAGGCTGCCTTCTGTCTCAAATGGACAGTGTCCGCGGCGGCACGGCGGGAGCGCCACTTTCAGGCGACATTGATGCGGCGCCGGGGCGAGAGCGCCATTTTGCTAGCCCGCTGTCGATACATTGAGCACGGCGCCGAAGCGGAAGTGACATTCGGCACATTCGCGCGCGATGTGCGCCGCGTCACATCCCTGCCGCGATTGCCACGTCGACAACAACACATCCGTGTTGAGAAGAAAACTGCAGCCACTTAATCTTATTTGTTGATAGGTCGGATGGGGGGTCACGGATTGTCTGGCTGCCGGCCAGCCAAGTGGCTGAGTGGGATGACATACTGACGAGGAATGAGAGCATGAGGAGTTTCCAAGATTGAGGAGCGAGGAGGGAAAGTGGGGATGGGCGAGGAGGAGGAGGAGGAGAAGGATGAGGAGGAGGAAAGGAATGAAGAGGGAAGGAGAGAGGGACGGGGGGAGGAGGGAGGAGGGGGGACGGACGGAGGACCGAGAAACAGGGCCAGGGCCGAGGACCCAGGAGGAGGCAATGGACTGAGCGCACCAGGAAGCTGCAGCTCAGGCGGGAGGAGGCCCCCTCCCCCCCGCCAGCGCCTCTCCGGCCGTCGCCCTCACGTAGGTCACGCCGTCGCGGACCACCGCGGCGGGCGTCGTCGCTTCGGCGACCGCCGCCGCCGTCGTCGTAGCCGTCGTCGTCACCGTCGTCGCGGTCGTCGCGGTCGTCGCCCTCGCCGTGGACGGCTGGAGGGCGACGTACGGCACGCCGTCGATGATGATCGTGGCCTCGGCCCCCCCGCCCGCAGGCGCTGGTAGAGCGTCGCTCGGGGGCGGGCCGCCGGCGGCCGCCTCCGCGCTGCTGCTGCTGCTGGGGGCGTCCGCGCCCATCGTCGGGTGTTGCTGGAAGTGGCCCCTGGCCCCGGACCCCCTCGGGTGATGAGCAGAATCACGACGGGATTTATTTCGCTATTGTCGGCCTCTGGGCTCCCTTCCTGGGCCTCGGGACCGTCAAAAAACGTCTCAGGATGAAAAACCGGTCCACCGGAGGGGGTCTGGACCTCTGGGGGCCAACGTTGTAACAAAACTCACGACGTAGGGGGTCTGGGGCCCAAGGTGCCCCCAGGCTTTCCGTGGAGCCCCCCACGGCTTCCAGAGCACCCCTCGCGAGGCCCTTGGGCCAGGGCCACCTGCAGCAACTCCCGAAATCGGCGTTGTTGAGGTGGTGGTGTCCGGGCCCAGGCGGATGATTGCGCCCAGCGCGTCGTGGTCGCTGCCGCCCTTGCCGATGACCTCGAGGAGCAGAGAGCGGCGCAGACGCGCAGGCTTGGGGAGCTCCGCGCGGGCTTCTCGGATCTGCGCGGACCCCCCGAGGGGGCCCAGCGCCGATCCCCCCAAAACTCCGCGCGGACTTCCGAGCACTCGTGCTCATGCTGCTTTCTCCTCCTCGATGGCCGTGGTGTTGACGACTGTCGCCTCGCCCGTGTTGGTGAGGATCCAGTCCGTGCCGTCCCACAGCGTGCCCCGGACCGCCACGCCAAAGTCCTGGAGCAGCCGAGACACGGGGTCGTGGTCTGCGTCCGAGGAAAAGTCGCCTGCCATGATGACGGCATCGCCGGGGTCGGCATGATGACTGACGGTTCGCAGCAGCTGGAGGGCGGTGGACACCCCGCCGCAGAGCCCCCCTGAGTTGAAGGGTCGGGGGCCGTAGAAGTTCAGGAAGAAGACCGTTCTGCCGGTCTCCGAGCTCTGCAGGCGAACCCAAGTCGCGGTCCGGTTCACGTCCGCCTCGGCCGCCACCTGAACGACGAAAAGAAACGGGTCTTCGGCGAGACGACGCCGCGGCTTGCGCGAGCCGCCAACGCGGCACGCTGCACAAGAAACCCGGGCGCTCACGCGCGACCTTGCGCGGGCAACTTGCGCGCCAACATCCGTGCAGACGAATCCGTTCTTCTGCGTCGCTCACCTGGCCGACTTTCCCAGACCCCAGACGTCGTGTTTTTTTTCACAACGTCGCCCCCCAAAGGTCTGGACCCCCTCCCCTGGGACCGGTTTTTCATCCTGAATCGTTTTTTGACGGCCCCGAAGCCTGGGAAGGGCCCCTGGCGGACGGAAATAGCGAGAAACCTCCCGTCGTGATTTTTTTCACAGCGCGAGGAGGTCTGGGTTGGAGGCCCTGGATCCAAGAATGCTGGCGCCTCACTGCCTGCTTCCGCCGCCTCTCGCTGGCCCTCCGCCGGCGGCGCCAAGCACTCTTTTTGCTTCCGCCGCCTTCCGCTATAGCGGACCCGCCACCGCCTTACTCTTCCGCCTCCTCCCGCCGAACTCTTCCGCTTCCAATGCGAAGTCAGCAAGAGGCTCTTCGAGAACCTTTCGACGAGGCAGAGCAGCAAGAGGCTCTCCGAGAAGTCTCCGGAGCCCGAGAGGCCTGCCGTTTCGAAGAGGCCTCAGGCTCTCGAGACTTCTCGAAGAGCCTCTCTAAGACTTCTCGAAGGCCCAAACCTTTCTCGGGGGCCGGCTTTGGATCCCGAATCCTTCGAGAACGGTCCCAGGTCCCAGCGGGGGCACCCAGAGGTCGGGAACGTCCAGAAACCTCGGGTCGCGACTGCTTCGCGACGCGAGCATGTCTGTGTCTGGAGCACCTCGCTCTCGCCCTGGTCGATCAGGCTCCACTTGGAGGTGCGGACCGCGATGCACAGGGAATTCCGCGTCCCGAACGACATGTACTGGCCTGGCCGCACCTCGCCGAGTGGGCCCTCGGCGTTCTCGCACTCCTCTCCGGAGGGGCGGCCAGCTCGAGACAGCGGCGGCCCTGCGGAGCCACCTCCGCTCAGCGTGTCGCGGCGGCGTCCCAGGCGACACGCTGTGCCCTGCGAGCTGGCAGCGCGTCGCTCCGCTCCGCGGGGCGGGGGGCTGGGAAAAGCTTGGGACGTTGATGCCTGGGGGACTTGGACGTGGTTGGCGTGTGGCGTCGAAGCGAGGTGGGCCGCGACACGCTGAGCTGACCGCACCATCGGGCCCCAAACACTCGAGAATCGATCCCTGCAGCCCAGGCATCCAGCTGCTCAAAATTTTCTTGAGGCATGGGCGCCGGAGGTCCGAACCACTTCCCTGCAGGGCTGGCTTCTCGTCCCGAGTCGTGCTCTGCCGCTCCCAAGGCCGGGCGAAGGCCCCCAACAAAGGCCGAAGCCGGTCGACCGCCGCCGGCTTTCCTCTTTTTGCGGAGCGTCGGACCTCTATAGGTGGGCCCCTCCCGGGTCCCCAAGCCCAGACGTGCCCGAGTCGCGGCAAGATCACGAGGGGAAGATCTTCACCGTCTCTTCGGCCTCTCATGGGAGGCCCTGACGCGCCCCGGGGACCCGCCGACGAGAAAACGGCTCGGGAGGAACAAAAGGCGGCCTCGGGGAACGCGTCGGGACTTCCCGGGGGCCCCGCGTGGCCAAAACACCAGGGCGTCGAGCCTCTGGGAGCGCACCAGTGTGAGGTCGGGCATGTCCTCCTACAGGCGGATTTTGGGCGACCAAAAAATTAACTTTTTAAAATACCCCCAAATAGTCAAAAATAGTAAGGAAGAATCGTCCCCAGACTATTTTTGGACCACTTTTGAAAATTCCTCCTGCAGAGGGACAGGCCCGGCTTGACACCAATGCCACCAGTGCTCCAGGCTGCGCCTGGCCGTGGAGACGAGCGAGGGCGCCCCCCCCCCCCCCCCCCTTCACCCCGAGGGCCGACGGAGGCGATCCGTGCCTCACAGCTGGTCCTGCCCCCGACTCCCCAGATCCCAGACGTCGTGATTTTCTGCCAACGTCGACCCCCAGAGGTTTTGTGACGGTCCCGAGGCCGGGGAAGGGCCCCCAGAGGCCGAAAATGGCGAAAACCCTCCCGTCGTGTTTTTTTCGCAGCGCGGGGGGGTCTGACTCCTGGAAGCCCATGATGTCGAACGGCCTGTCCAGCATCGCGCCCGCCACCAGCTCCTGCACGGGCCGGCCGCCCTGGTTGCTCTCGGCGAAGGACTTCTCCCACATCAGGTTGTACGAGAGGACCTTCGGCCCCCCCCAGCAGTCCAGCGTGCCCCACGCTGCTGCTCCTCCTCCTCCTCCTCTTCCTCCTCCTTCTCCTCCTCCTCCTCC